TTGGGTTATAGCTTGATTTTACACATTTTAGGGTGGCGGAAGTGACAGGCAAACATCAACACATTAAGGTATACATTGATTTGATCTGGAAAGATGGGACATCTCAAAGTGAGGACTTACAGGTCATAGGCGAATTCAGAGAGTTTCTGATTGGCAATTGATTGAAGGAATTAAATTATTATCTGAAAACCTAGAATCAATAGAAAGGAGTGTCTGGGTTAAGATAAAGGATTGTGGAGACCAAGGTTCTTATTATATAGATGAAGTCTCATAGCTGGCCACCCTTAGAGGCAATAGATGGCGAAGGTTTCCTGTTCAGATGTTTAAAAGGTGCTAGGCTCTCCGCTAATCTCTTCTATTTTTTTATGTGCAAGATGATTTTTTATTGATGTGTAATAGCTGTACATATTTATGGTGTACGTGTGATATTTTGATACAAGCATACAATATGTAATGATCAAAGTAGGGCAGTTGGGGATCCATCGCCTCAAACATTGACCATTTCTTTGTGTCGGGAACATGCTGCATCTTCTTTTCTTTTCTTTTCTTTCTTTCTTTCTTTTTTTTTTGAGACGGAGTTTCGCTCTTGTTACCCAGGCTGGAGTGCAATGGCGCGATCTCGGCTCACCGCAACCTCCACCTCCTGGGCTCAGGCAATTCTCCTGCCTCAGCCTCCTAAGTAGCTGGGATTACAGGCATGCACCACCACGCCCAGCTAGTTTTTTGTATTTTTTTTTAGTAGAGACGGGGTTTCACCATGTTGACCAGGATGGTCTCGATCTTTCGACCTCGTGATCCACCCGCCTCGGCCTCCCAAAGTGCTGGGATTACAAGGGCTGAGCTTTAATGTCATCTCCTCTTAGCCATTTAGAGGGTGAACCACCATCCCTTCACCCCAAGGAAATGATCTCTGCCTCATTTGCGCCTCCTTCACCCTGGCCCCACTCCGGCCACAGCGGCTACGTCACCTCAGATTCCCCGATGTCTTTCCATCCAGAACTGGAATCGTGGAGGGAAAACAGTTACTCAGATCTCCTGGTTTCCCAGCACGTAGCAGTTCTGGATCCCAGCTCATAATTGTGCTCTATATCATTTTTTATTATAAAATGCATTTGTGCAAATTCTGGTCAATACTGTCTCATGTAAACAGCAGTGCAAAATCTAAAAACTTCCAGTCCTGCAGGCAGGCTGTGCAGCTTAGGAGAGGACACCACAATCTGGACCCCAGAATCTGGAACTAGGCCAAAAAGAATAATGCAAATGAATGCGTAGTTTGCTGGGGTTGCTGGAGTTTCAAGTCTATCGCCAGAGTTCAGAAGGCAACTGACCACCCCTGATGTACGCCTGCCCCCCTTTCATTTGTCCAGTTCATATTTCACCTCAAAGTATTCCTTCCACTTGACAATGGCACATAAAGATTAGGATGGATTAGGGACATCTTCTTGTCTAGGATTAGAAATCGCCTTCTCAAGGAAGCCTTGTCTAATGAGCCTGAGAATATTTCACACTCTCCATGCTGATGCCAATGCAGGACTCACCACAGCTATTAGGATATTCTGTTTACATGCCCATGTCATCCCAGAGAAGTGATCACAGGGCAGGGACCTCATGTCTGGCATAAGTTCCTAGTTAAGATCCAAAATCCTGAGATATTGCTGATGTGCTGTGGCAGATTGTCAAGAGAACTGTGTCATTCCAAACCCACCAGGGCAGCTTATACAACAGAAGCAGCTGGCTATAAAGAGGAGAGCTGGCCAGGCCTCTCCTCAACCACAGCCCAGAGCTCCAGTCACCAGATAGAAAGTGGATTTCACTTCATCCAGTACTCCTTCAAAAGAGTTTCAATGAATAGGGTGGAGGCGATGTGTCATTCTGTATAGGAAGGAGACCATTTTAGAGCAAGGCCTAAGGGCACAGGTGCTAGCGTCATATTGATCAGAATTCAACCTTTGTTCTAACACACACTAGAGCAAGAATTTGTTTGATTTAGAGTGATTTGTAGCTACTGTACATTATGTGAGTATTAAAGAGAAAGAATTGACAGCTCTATGCCCACACTCACATGACAGCTGATATGAAAGAAATTCTGGAATTCCAAACAGTCCCAAGAATTTCTGATATCAAAAGATTCCAAAAGCTTTTTTTTTTTTTTTTTTTTTTTCAGACCAAGTCTCACTCTGCCACCCAGGCTAGAGAGCAACCGTGAGATTTTGGCTGACTGTAACTTTTGCCTCCAGGGTTTAAGCCATTCTCTTGCCTCAGCCTCTCGAGTAGCTGGGTTTACAGACATGTGCCACCATGTCCAGCTAATTTTTGTATTTTTAGCAGGACGGGGTTTCATCATGTTGGCCAAGGCTGGTCCAATAACTTGAGCATATTTCATGAACATACCCAGAATGCTGTGAGCTGTCCGTGGTGCTGAATTCACTGTGACGTCACTCCTGCCTCCCTTTGCTTTCTTCTAACTGACACGTCTTCAACCTTCTCAACAGGAATCTCTTATTTTCCCCCACATGCAGGTGGTTTTTGAGTAGCCTCCTCAAGGGTGATCTCAACTTTCCAGGAAGTAAATAGGGCAAAAGGAACAATGTGAAGAGGAGCAAAAACTCATAAAAAAGCATGTTCTTGAAAAACAATCAGTTTGTTTCCAGATTGTCACTATAACCACGCCATGACAGCCGGCTCATACATGTCCCCTTATGGATCTGTGACACAGTTTCTTTGGTATTTCTGTCTAGGAAAAGGGTTGATGTATCATAGAGAATATATATATTTAACTAAGTGTGAGATAATATCTTATTGTTTTTGTATCTTGCATTTTACAAGAGTTCTGACCAGCATCAGATAAACTTCTGTGCCCTCATTTAGTTGACTTCAATATTATTGAATTAAAGAATTACTGCTTCTCACTAGGAGCATCATTTACCACTTTTTAAATTTCATATTAAAACTCAATTTCTAGTAGAGTCTGATTTCTTAGGTTCATTTTTCTATTTAAGTATCTTTTATCTTTTATTTTCCTTTACCATGTTTTAAACTAAATTAAAGCAGTTTATTTGAACCAACTAGCTTCTTTGAATTTACCCAGTGTTAGCAATGATCATTCACGTCTGATAAATAAGAAAAAGACACCCAGATATACACTCTTGATAGGAGACAACCCCACATATGAAGCAATCTGCTTTAAAAAACCTGAACCCTGAATATGCTTAAGGTTCTAGATCTACCGAGTTAACAAAGGGAAGAGAAAGCCCCAGGAGTCGTTAATTGACACCACATGGATGCAATCAGGAAATCCAGACTATAGGAAATTTTACAGGACAAACGATCCTGTTTCTATAACAATAATAACAAAATGAAAGGAGAAAAAGAAGAGAGTGAAGCTGTACATTTAAAAAATCTTGGCTGGGTGCAGTGGTTCACGCCTGTAATTCAGCACGTTGGGAGGCCAAAGTAGGCAGATCACTTGAGGCCAGGAGTTTGAGACCAGCCTGAGCAACATGATGAAAATTCATTTCTATCGAAAATACAAAAATTAGCCAGGTGTGGTGGTGCATCCCTGTAATCTCAGCTAGCAGGAGACTGAGTCATGAGAATTACTTGAACCTGGAAGGTGAAGGTTGCAGTGAACTGAGATTGTGCCACTGCATTCCAGCCTGGATGACAGAGCAAGACTCCATCTTACGAAGAAAAAAAAGTTTTCAGAGCTGTATCAATCAGATATACTGTACGCAGCTTATTTTGTCTCTGGTCAAGTAAACTTTAAAAAAATCCATCACAACTGGAAAAATGTGAAAACTGGACATTTGATTAAATAGTATTAAATATTTTTAGATATGATAGTAATATTGTGATTATGGGCTTCTTAGGTTGCCTTGTCTTTTAGAAATACAAATTGAAATGAAATTATGTGAAGTTTGGAATTTTCCCAGCAAAAATGAAGGATAGGAGTGGATAGGTACTGTAAGTGGAACAAGACTGGTCATGTACTGACCATCATCAAGGTGGGTAATGAATACATAAGGGGTTATCACACTATTTTCTCTATTGTTAATTTGTCTGAAAAGTTACTTCATGGCCGGGCACGGTGGCTCAAGCCTGTAATCCCAGCACTTTGGGAGGCCGAGGCGGGTGGATCACGAGGTCAAGAGATTAAGACCATCCTGGTCAACATGGTGAAACCTCGTCTCTACTAAAAAATACAAAAAATTAGCTGGGCATGGTGGTGCATGCCTGTAATCCCAGCTACTCAGGAGGCTGAGGCAGGAGAATTGCCTGAACCCAGGAGGCGGAGGTTGCGGTGAGCCGAGATCGCACCATTGCACTCCAGCCTGGATAACAAGAGCAAAACTCCATCTCAAAAAAAAAAAAAAACTTACTTCATAATTTTAACAGTTTTAAAAGGATGAAATAAAGACATTTTCAGATATACAAACATGAGATGACTTACCCCCCACCATACCCTTACTAAAGAAACCTCAAAAGCAAGTACAATACTACAAGAAAAAAGAAAAACTACCCCAAAGGCACAAAGAATGATAAATGATAGAAATGGCAAACAAGTAAGTAATTCTAATTAAATATTTGTATAAATCAAAAATAATAATTCCTCACTCTGCACATTAGCTCACACCTCTAATCCTAGCACTTTGGGAGGCCAAGATGGAAGGATCCCTTGAACCCAGAACTTCGAGACTAACCAGGGCAACATAGTGAGATGCCCATCTCTACAAAAAATAAAACATTAGCCAGCCATGGTAGCACACCCCTGGAATCCCAGCTACTTAAGAGGCTGGGTTAGAAGAATTACTTGAGCTAGGACGCTAGAGGATACAGTGAGTCACGATCCTGCCACAGCACTCCAGCCTGAGCAACAGAACTAGACCCTGTCTCAAATAATAAAAATCATTCCTAAAGAAGGGACATAATTTTTTTTTTTTTTTTTTTTTTTTGGTAGTTTTGACAACGTCAGTCACAAAGAGAAGGACATCAGGCAAGTGTCTGGTGGCGGGACACATTTTATTGTTCTGGGGTCTCTCACAAATTCTCACAAACTTGACCTGGAATTTGTAGTTTTGACAACGTCAGTCACAAAGAGAAGGACATCAGGCAAGTGTCTTGTGGCGGGACACATTTTATTGTTCTGGGGTCTCTGGAGGCCCCTGGGTGGGGCTGGATCACTGGCTTCCCCCCGAGCAGGGCTCCGCTCCGTGGCTCTGCTTGTGGTAGTCAATGGCTATGTCTCCCAGAAGGGACAGATACTCAGAAAAATCAATCTTCTTATCCCCATTCTTGTCCTTTTTCTCAAAGGCATTGGCCAGGTAATTTGTGCCCTTTTTGTCCTGTGGACAGAAAAACACACAAACAAGAAAGATTCAATCACGGACAAGTTTTGGGGCTGTGAGGGGAGAGGAGGTGGCAGAGACAGAGACAAGTGCCTAGATCTGCACAGGCGTGGTGGTGTGGCTGACAGCACAGGGCGAGTGGCTGAGGTCGGGGTGAGGATGTGAGTGTCACCCCTGGAGTTCCCTAGGGAGACTTTTAGACACAAACCTCAGGGTGGGAGGCAGGTCCTGTCGCGACACGCTCTGTTAAGTGATCTTGGCAAGGGAGTCTCCTGCCCCAGCCTCACTCTCTCCTGTCCCCAGCCTTCTAGGGCACTGCCTACCTTAGGTCTACCCCAGGCGCTCAAAATAGGCCCTCACACTTGGTTCTCTTTCTCTGACCCCCTCTCCATTCTTCTCTTTTTCCACCAAACTCAGCTTTCTGGGCTCCCTGTTCTTTGTCATCTAGCCCTTTAGGTACCTAGTAGCCCACAATATTTTTCAGATTTGCTAATGAGTTTTGGTTATTGCAAAGAGGGGCACTGATTTCAACTAGCAATGGAACTTCTAGTGCTTTCCTGTTAATCTCAGGGATGTTGATGTGGGGCCTTCAGGCAGCGGGACCTGAGCATGTGAGTTTCAGTCTCAGAGAGAGAGGGTCAGGGAGCGCTGGGAGAGGACTGAGCACTGCCCGCAAGCTGCAGCCTGCTGACTGTCTAATAACATCTTTATACCCGTATAACCCTTTACCATCGTGAGACTTGTTCGCCTATCATCCTTAGATTCCCATATGGTCCAAGCAATAAAGCCGTATTCGCAAACGAGACATTTTTGAATCGGAGGATGAGGGTGACCTGTCCAAGGTCACACAGGAAATTGTATCCTGAACCATGTCAGGGCCCAACCAACATTGAGAAGCTAGACCCCGACTCACACAGGCACTGAGGAAGTTGGGGAAGTTCTCCTTCATCATCGTCAGCAGGCTGGGCTTGTCAATCTTGTCGTCATTTCCGGTGTATTTGTGAAACATGTCGATCATGCCCACTATGGACTTCTCAGCTTGAGTGCTGCTCATCTTTGCTTTCAAAAGGCTTCAGAAAACAGAGACAATCATTTCTTTCCCTTCATTAGAATTAAGGTCTCTATGTGCAGGTGTTGAAAGAACGGCTGAGGAGCGAGTAAAACAGGGCTAAGATGGAGCAGAAGGAACTTGACTTTTTTAATGTGATGAGGTAATTTGCTCAAACATGGGAGGCTGGAGCCAAGTCTGAGACCTGCCCCATCCTGGCCGGGACCCAGAGGAGGTGTACCCGGACGGCAGAAGTCCAGCTGTGGGCAGTGCTCTGGAGAGCGAGAAGCAGGAAGAGACGGGGGCCGACAGCACGTGGAAGAACTGAACCCTGAGATGGGACCCCCAGCCACAGCCGCACATGGCAGACCCCACTCCTCAAACAGCACCAAATCCATCTCCTCCAGCTTCACGGTTGGGGTGAGAGTCACAGGGGCAGGACAAAGGCCTTTGAACTGGTCTCTCACCCTCGTGGGCTGCTTCAGGAACAAGACACCATGGGCCCCACCTTGGCTAAAGTGCGAGTCCTGCCTGACGCGGTGTGTGCAGGCTCCAGGTGCACATGTGAGCGTGGAAGTGAGTGTGAGCCGGAAACACAGCCCTGTCCTGAGCACAGGGGCCCTTTCGGCATCCCTTGGGAATGAGAATCAGGCATGGCCTCTGTTACACGGAACAGAAATAACTCCCTGGTTCTTAAGCTGCTGAATGGGATGGGAGTGAGGTGGGGTCCCTTCATGTCCTCTCTTTGGAATTATCTGCACCTTCCGAATCACCAAGGCTTGACTCTTTAAATAAAAAGGTCTGACTTCCCAAAGCAGACAGTTTGGGCTGCCCTGCACCCTAAGCCTGAAAAATAGGACAGTGTAGCTCTCACTTCCCACACTTTCCAAAGAACCAGAAAATGACCTTGGCTAACGCTTGTAGCATCTGACAATAAACCCCATCTCCCCCCAACGCAGGAGAAAGCTCCTTGCCGGCAATTGACTAAAAGAAGCCACCCAAAGCTTTTTGAATCTGAGGCCAAGGCAAGGGGCTGAGCCCAGTTCTGAGGATAACTGAGAATTTGCAAGTCCCAGGCCTGGGGGTTTGAAGAGCCCCCAAAGCATTCACAAGGGACCTTTATCCCTCCACCCTCTGTGGGATTCAGAACCCCAGACCTCAAGAAGAGGATGAATCCACGGAGAAGACAGGGAGGAAAGGGAGGGTGCTGTGCTCAGGTCCCACTGGGGACATTTCCACAGGAGTTGTCTCAGGACACCCCATAGGAGCAATGGGCAGGGCTGGTCCAGCCTCCTGGTTCTACAGAGGAGCGTTCTCGGGCTCCGGGGAAGGCCACACATCCTGGCTGGTGGCAGAGCTGGTCTAGACCCTGGATCCTGAGTCTTTGTCAGCAGCCCTTCCCCCTCCTGCAGGCAGCACAGCAGGCCAAACACTGGGCACTGCTAGAAAAGGCAGAGGGGCCCGTGAGACTTACCAGAGCTGGGACGTGTCACCAGGGGAAGGATGAGAGAGATGTGTGCGTTTGGACGAATAGCAGTCCCTTTATAAGGCTCAGCCTGGCTCTTCCCAGGGGCTGGAAGGCCCGGGGCCACCTCTGTCATCTGTTTCTTGCCTCACATCAGGTGGGTGGGACACACCCAGCAGGCTGTGTGCTCAGGATTTCTGGCCAGAGTCCCAGGTCACCAGGTCCCACACCACCCCAGAGACCGCACTGGGGCCTTCTCTGGCTCAACCTTGATTTGGGGGTGAGGCAGCCGGTGCACGGGTAGTAGCGGGACAGCAAGTGGAGGAAGGGAGCACGGGGACTCCGGACCCAAAGGGGACGGAGCTTCAGCCTCCAGAGCGGCGTGGCCTGCTTGCTCCGTCGCCTAGTCCTTCCGCACAACCGCTGTGACAGCCTGTTCTACGATCCCTCCACTTACTGCGCGTTTTCATGTCCAGACGTCAGGGTCCCTGCTGCGCCTGCATCCTCCCCAGTCCTCGGAGTCCTGTGAGGCAGGCGCTGCAGTCTCTGTTTTTGGAAAGAAGTTGAGATGTTTCCAAGTTTACTCAGCTAGTAAACGCAGCAAATCACCACAGGAACACAGCAAAGCCCGAATCAAATCCTTACTCTAATCCTCTCTTCTCTATGTCTTGGTCGCCTCAGGGCCTGCCCTGTGGGAACTCAAAGTCCTGGGAAGGAAGCAGGGTCACCTCATGGCCGATCATTGGTCAGCCCCTCACAGAAGCCCTGGATCCAGGTGCCGGGACTGGGGTCAGGGGTCTCCCTCTCTAGGTTGAGTGGTGGAGTGACCCCCATGGAAGAAGCCTGGAGGCAGGGAGTGGGCAAAGTTCTTTCCTGCCCCAAGGTGGTAACTTCCCAGAAAGTCTTCAATGTTTTTCTTCCTCTATGCAAAACAGCCTGTGTAGGAGTTGGGAGTTGTGCCCTTGGCCATAATGTGCCCTAACCTGCTGTGGAAACGCTGACCCAGGTAGGGGCTCCGAGGTCGGGAAGGCACGGGAGTCCCTGGGGCATGGTGAGGACAGGGAGACGGTGAATCACTGAAATGGGCTCTTTTTCTGCTGCCCCTTCCAGTGTTCCTTGTAGGCTGCAATAGAGTTCCAGGTTCATTTAGCGCCAGCCCCTTAAGCACTCTGAGGCTCCATAGAGCGGATGTGATATCTTCCTAGGTGGGGCCTACTTTCTCCACCCATCATATCCCTTCAACTTCCTTCTCCATCAGTCCTCATGTAACCAGGGGCACCTGTTTCTCCCTCTCCCACTTCTCCATATCATGGTGATATTATTTTAGTGGCAAGCGACACACACACACACACACACACACACACACACACACCCAAACACCAGAATACTCAACCATAAAAAGGAATGAAATGATGCCTTTTGCAGCAACATGGATGGAACTGGAAGCCATGATCTTAAGTGAAATTACTTAGAAACACAAAGTCTAATACGCCGTGTCCTCACTTATAAGTGGGAGCTACATCATACGTACAGATGGAGGTAGAGAGCAGAATCACAGCCACTGGAGACTGTGAAGGGTGGGCAGTCAGGAGGTGGGTGAAGGATGAGACATTTTTAGTGGTATAATGCCTGCTATTTAGGATGGGCTACATTAAAAGCTCAGACCACCACTGTGCAGTATATTTATGTACATTTGTATGCGGGTTTTTGTACAGACATGTTTTCACTTCCTTTGGGTAAATCCTGAGGAGTGTGGTTTCTGGATCCTATGTAAGAGTATGTTTATTTTTTTAAGAAAGCACCACACTGTCTTCCAACATGGCTGTACTATTCTGCGTTCCTGCTGGTAATGAACGGGAGTTCCTGTTGCTCCACATACCTCTTCAGCGTTTTGCGTTGTCAGTGTTCCACATATTGGCCGTTCTCATAAGTGTGTACTGGCATCGCATTGTTGTTTTAATCTGCGTTTCCTTGAGGACACATGATGCAGAGCATCTCTGATATGCTGATTTGCCACCTGCCGTATCTTCTCCGATGAGAGGTCTGTTGAGGTGTTTGGCCCATTTTCTCATTGGTTGGTTTGTGTCTTACTGTGGAGTGTAAAGAGTCCTTTGTGTGTTTTGGATAACACTCCTTTTTCAGATATGTCTTTTGTAAGCCTTTTCTCCCACTCTGTGGCTTGTCTTTTCATTCTCTTGAGGATATCTTTCACAAAGCAGAAATTTTTAATTTTAAAGAAGTCCAGCTTACAAATTCTTTCTTTCATGGACTACGCCTTGGTGTTCCATCTATAAAGTCATCACCAAAACCAAGATGATCATGTTTCCTCTTATGCTACCATCAAGGACTTTTGTAACACTGTGTTTTGCATTTAGGTCTGTGATTCATTCTGAGTTACGTATCATCACCACGTAGCCAAAAAAGAAACAGAAGAAAAGCAATACAAAAGGAATCAGAGACAACAATATGAATACAAGACAACAGAGAATTCTAAGTAAAAGGAATTAAATGGAAAAGAAGAATAGTTCTTATTGATTAGTGTGCAAGTCCCCAGGATGCAACAGTCTTATCCTTTTTTTCTCTTTTCTTTGTTTGCTTCTTCTTTCTTTTTATTGAGACAGAGTTTTGCTCTTGTTGCCCAGGCTAGAGTGCAATGGCATCAGCTCGGCTCACTGCAACCTCCTCCTCAATGGTTCAAGCTATTCTTCTCCCTCAGCCTCTCACGTAGCTGGGATTACAGGCACATGACACCTGTTTTTTGTATTTTTGGTAGAGATGGGGTTTCACCATGTTGGCCAGGCTGGTCTTGATCTCTTGATCTCAGGTGATACACCCACCTCGGCCTCCCAAAGCACTGGGATTACAGGTGTGAATCACCACAGTAGTCTTATCCTTATATACACTACAACATAATTTTGAATTATATAAAGCAAACTTTGAAAGAAACACAGGGAACTGACAAACTTATAATCACTTGTCAGGTTTTGGCGGAGTCTGCCCAGGTCTCAATAGGGTAGTCAGATAACAAAACACCAGGAATGGGCAGAGCAGGGTGGGCAGATGCTGCCACAGCTCCGAAGCAGCCCCAGACATAAGGGCACCGTGGATGACCATGGCTGTGTCTAATTAACATTAATATCCAGAAACGGGTGGCCAGCTGGATTTGGCTTGAAGACCATAATTTGCTGATTCTTGGTATAAAATATTTGAAGGACATACTTAAGTTTATTTATACACACATGCATTCATAAATTTGTGCCCAACCATAGAGAATATACATAAATTTCAAAAGTATTTGAGACATCCAAAAAACTGATCATTTGTTCTTGCCAAAATCAGAATCTTAGCAAATTAGCCTAACAGGGGTCTTATCTTTTGCAGCTGCTGATCACGGTGAACCCTGTGAGCCCTTCCCCTGTGTCATGTCTGGAACAAACACTCCATAAACCCACCCCGCCCCATCACACATCCAGCCTCCCAGCCGCTGCTGATCCCCGGGGAGGGCTCCCAACAGGCTGGCCGTGAACAGGAATCTGGCTGGTTGATACGTTCACCTCCTCCATGTTTTTGGGGAGCTCCCCTCTCATCAGTCTGAGGTAGAGGCAACTCACTCCTGGGTCTCTAGAAAATCTCAAGTTGCTGAAGAAGAGAACAGGAAGCCATTTGTTCTCTTTACTGTAGTTTATCCATTCATTTGTGTTTTGAGTGCTGACCGTGTTCCTGGTGAGTGGGTGTGGGGGTATCAGGGAGATGGAGTGGATGTGGACGGTGCTTTGAGCCATGCTCCGGCCCCAGGAGAGAGCTCCACTAAGCCACTGTGTGCTGAGAGAGTGGGGTGGACAGAGCCCGGGAGCCCCCAGCTCCCCAGGCAGTTCAGTGGTCACTTTCTCTGTGAAGCCAGGCAGAGCCACCATCCCCACGTCCCTGCACACCTTGGTGACAGCCCTGGCCGCACATGTGCTATGTTTGTTGCCACCCACCCTTGGCTGTGTGCCCCCAGCCTCCAGTGCAGAGAACTCCGTAAATGTTGGCTGAACTAGCAAGTGAGGCGGGTGTCTTCAGAAAGGTTCAGATAAAGTGTGTGGGAACTCGGAAGAGGAGAAATCACTTTTCAGGTGGGGGAACCAGAAGCTTTGTCAGGGCGGCCTTTCAGTAGGACGCGGAGCACTGCCAGGAGCAGAGGGGAGGACAGAGAGAGCCGCAGGAATGTTCCGAGACAGCCAGCTCTTCTGTTTGGGGCCCTCATGGGTGGTGTTGGCCGGCTGCATCCCTGGATTCCAGTGGCAGTTGGGGGAGGGGGACAGAGAGACAGAGTCCCACAGCATTCACAAGAGATTATTAGGACTCAGTTCTGCTGTCAGTCATCCACACTGGAGGATGAGAACACCCAGCTGCAGCCTAGAGCCTGTGGTCCAAGGGAAGGCAAGGGTTAAAGAAAGATGCAGAGAGAATCGGAGGCTCTACGGCAACGCAGGTGTTATGTCCGGCACGAGACCTGAGGAGGTGGGGGACCAGTTTGATGCCACAGCCCCCTGCTGCTTACAGGCTGGGGCAATTTCTAGACCTGGGTGGGGGTCTGGGCAGGATGGCTTGCTGCCTGGGAGGATGTTGATAAGCTGTTTCTGTGATCAGGTGGTTTGGACCTTTTTATGGTGAGATGTGATACGCTGTTTCTTGGACCTTTGCCCAACAGGTATGGTAAGAACGTTCCTGTGCCTTGCAGCCAGGAGGTTAGGGATGTTTCTCACGACCAGAATCTCCATGTAATGTTTTGCCATGACCAAGGTCTGTGAAATGGCAGGGGGCTTATAAAATGATGAGGTTTGGGCTAACACCCACCATCCTGTCTAGAATGGGTTTGCTGGAAGGATTGACTGTTAGTTCTGTTATTTTGATAATGGGGCTCGCTTTCTCAGAGGTCACATACACAGACAGTGCTGGGAAGCGACCCATGAGTACCCTGAGATATTTACCTGTTCAGCCAGATTTCAAGTTGGCAATGATCATTCAGTCAGAAACTCAGGTGAAACTCTGGCCCTGAGCGCAGAGAATTCGTTTTCTCTTTCCCAAACTTCCACACGGTGGCGCCACCGCGCACACACCTCGCCCTGGTCGTTGCTGTAGAGGGTTCCACGTGCTGGGCCGTCCTTTCTTCAGGCTGTGTGTCCCACGTCGGCAGCAATCTTACAGCTTTTTGAAAAAGAGATCTTCACCACAAGCTTCTGAAGGGCTAGGCTTTTCCTATTTCATTTGCATTCTTCTGTCTCTCCAAGGCCTACCAGAGAGCGCTGCACAAAATCGTATACTGGGGATGAAATTGTTAATGGAGTTGGTAGAAACAGGAACAAATTAAAACCACTAAATTTTAGTAATGGGGAATTAAGTAAATCTTGATTCGTATACACATGGAATCCCTGTGATGGTACGAAACGGACGTTTGGTCTTTGTCCCTGTTCCTGACACTGAAAGTGTGAAACGCTTGGAATTTCCTGAGTGACAGGGGTGAGAAGGCGCCTTTTGCTATTCATAACAAGCTCCTCCAGCCACACTGAGTTTGCGCTAATGAGGTGACTCTTGGTGGACCCCTAGAGAGCTGCAGGATGGGGCTGGTTGCCAGAGGAACCAACCATGTGATTAGAGGGCTGGAGCTTTCAGCCCCACTCTGGGCCCCCAGAAAACGGCTGCAGCTGTGGGAGGCCTTCACTCACCAGTGGCCGATTATTTAATCAGCCATGCCCAAATAACATGACTGCCACAGAAACCACAAACGATAGGGCTCCGAGCACTGTCGGGTGGGTGAACATGGGGTGCAGGAAGGGCGGGTACGTGGAGTGGGCCTGGGAGCTCCATGCCGCCCCACTGCTCTCTTAGGCAGAAATTGAATATTATCCTTTTTGAGGTCTTTCCAATCCTTGAGGTGTCTAAAATCCTGGGTTCGGGCAGGAGCGTGGTGGGAGTGCTTTAGGGCCAATTTCGGGTAAACTCCTTTCTCAGTTTCACCAGAAAGTGCTACTCTGCTGCTGTAGTGTCTTCTGTATGTCACAGGGCATTGCTTTCAGTAACTGGTCTGCACACCGGAAAGACATGAAGGCGTGTTTGTCAAGATCAGAGTCTTGCCCTGGCCACGGGTGGTGGGTTGTGACATAGGAGATGCATGTTTGGCACCATGTGGTTCTAAGTACAGTACCCGAAGTTTTGGCTCGATGTCTGTCTCCACCTACAGACTATGAGTTCCTGGAAGGCAGAATGTTATTCAATTCATGTCTGTCCTCTTCCTCCATAGCACCTAGCACCTAACCCATGGCAAAATTCTGATAAACATTAAGGAAGAGTTGACATTAAAATGTATAAATAAAAGTAATTTAACGTCTAACAATAATGGATTCATAAGACAAATTTTGATACATGCAAACAGATGATCGCTATGTACCCACTAAAAATCAGGCTCGCATTCATGAAGCATGTGAGCTGTCCACAGCATAACATTGAGTAAAACGTGCAGCTACAGCACAGCTGTGCACCCCTGGGAATTGGCATGGTGTAGGGGGGTGTTTTGTCCCAGAGTGAGCAAAAGCTAGGGTGAAGAGGAGCGCGGTCTGCCCCACCATCCCCAGCCATAGGTCAGAAATGAAGTTGCTTCTGAACAACAAGCTATTATCCAGCAATTGTCCAAGGGTGAACCATATGGGTATACCAAGTTTCTTCATTAGACGGCTTTAAGGTTTTGCTTATGTTTGTTTCTTGGTTATAGATGCTACAGTGGTGGACAGTTTCCTGATGATTTTTTTTCCTAACATCTGCTTCATTAATTGTTTTGGGATGAATTGCCAGGGGAACGATGGCTGAACCAAAGAATTCAATACAGTTTTTTTTTTTTTTTTTTTTTTTTTTTTTTGTGGCTCTAGCTTGGCAAGGCTGATAAATGCAAGCCATGTTTTTAGTTTAGAAACATAAAAGTGTACCGATAAACCACTTGTTTGCCGGGGAAGTCATTATGTTAAGTCAATGAAGCCTCACCCAGCAAACTGGAAAAGGTGTTGGCTTCAGTATCTACCTCTGATTTTCTCTCCAACCTTCAGGGATGCACAGAGTCTCTGGTTGAATGACCTCTCGTTTGGTGCCCCCTTCTGGAAGACTCAGTCATCAGCCTGTGCGGGCCCTCCCAAGGGAGCTGTGTGGGGTGAAATGGTGCCAAGGAGAAGGGGCTGGCTGGGAGAAGTCTCATGTTGGGTTGAGGTGGCAGACGGGACCCCACCTGTCACTCAAGGGCCCAGGTACCATCTGTAGGGATGTGGAGCCTACAGACCCGGCCCCCTCAGAGCAGGGTCCCTTCTACATTGCAGTCGGTGATTCGCTGATAAACAATTTGGTTCTACCACTGTTCCTTCACCTCCATCCATCACCCAAATGATTAAAAAAATCCTCTATTAGCTTCTTTCCTTGTTCGTGTATGGCAGTCTCGCCCTGACCCCGGTGGTAGGGGTTGTGAGGTGGGGGATGCATGTTTGGCACCAAGTTTGTGGTGCTTTTCTAAGTAAAGTAGCTTGGAGTTTTGGCTAGATGTCTGTCTCCACCTGCAGACTATGAGCGGGATGGGACAAAGTCGCAACCGTAGCTTGGCACGGGGTCTTCGGATCTTGTCTCCCTCCTGCCTCTCCAGCCTTGTTCCTTCTAACTTCTCATGGTGCACCCTGGGGACTCCATCCCCTGAGTAGGTCATGCTCTTTCCACCCCCAGGCCTTTGCCTGTGCCATGCCCTCTGTCTGGACCTCCTGGCCCTCCAGTCGTCCTTGCAACTCAAAATGTCTCTTCAAGTCCCAGCTGCAATATCACCTCCCTAAGGAAGTCTCCCTCAACTCCCCAGGCGGCAGGTGTTCCTTCCTGCGTGCCTGGAGCACCCGTCTGTGTCACTCAGTTGGCTTGCATGTGCCTCGTGACAGTGTGTGACTGTCCCCTCACACGTCCCCACCCTGTGAGCTGGCCCTGCATCTCATGCATATTGCCTAGCAGAAGGCCTGGCACACTGTAGGTACTCAAGAGTATTTATTGAATGAATGAAGGAATGAATGTGCTTCATGACAGTGGAATTTGGGGGTTCGCTAATTGAGGGAGGACATCCCAGGGAGACGTAGTTAAGTGTGTGTCTGACCCCACCCACACCCTGGAGCTGGAAGGACGAGCTCTGAGGGAAGAAGACAGATAATGGGACATTCTGTGATTCTTAGATGCTTCAGATCCTGATCCCAGGGAGGTGGGCCCCTAAAACATTAATCTTAGGAAGTTAAGTGTTGTGAGGTCATCTCAGGAATGCAATTATAAGGCTTGGTCCTGCTGCAGAAAGACATGTGAAGCGACAAACACTGGCTGCCAGAATTGGAGGTGCTGAGGATGGGTGGGGTGTGGGGCTTGGTGGTGGGTTCCCAGCTCCCACAGCTGCCTGTTGCCTGAGCGCTGGGGTATCTCTGGGATCAACTACAGGCTGGATCTGTGGATTCGGAACCTCATCCCAACAGTGACAGGTCAGTGCCTCTTCCAAGAGAGTTGTTGGAGTGGGTGTCTGCGTTGGGTCTGTGCAGGTTCTGAAAAGCAGAGGTGGGCAGCTTCTCTGTTTTGGAGAACACGCACAGTGTGGATGAGCATCTCAAGAGCACAACCGTGGCCCAAAAGGGGGTTAGGACAGGAGCTGTTTAGGACAGGAGCTGAAAGCATGCCTTTGGGCTTGTTACCAAAGACGTGAGTTTGAAACGCAGCTGCAGGTGGATCAGTTGTGTGATCTTGGGGAAATAATTTATCCTTTCTGGGTTTCATTTCCCCCTTAGGAAAATGGGGGTAATGGTGCCTGCCCCCTATGACCCTTGTGGGTATTACGTGGGATATGGGATAATTTGCATAAAGCATTCACCGGGTGCCTGGCTGGCTCCATGAGCGGTGGAAGCAGCGCTGTCCTGACTCCTATCTGGAGAGTCCAGGGAGCACAGGTGACCTGACAGGGTGATCTCATCAGGATCTCCATAGGAGGTGAGGAGTGCAGGGTCACAGGCATCAGAGCACCCAGAGGGGCTGCACAGAGGCTCCAGGAGGGCCACAGGATGTGAGGGCTGAACGACGGTGCTGATGGCACCGGGACTTCCTCTGGAGAGGGTGGCACAGTGCGGTGGCGGCAGGAGCAGAGGCGGGATCCATGCGCTGTCTATGGATTCAACTGGGAAGGCAAATTAATAGCTCAAGAGCAGGGCGGGCTTTTCTGCATAGGGCAGTGATTCTAATACTCTGTTTGTTGCACAAGACAGTTTATGATAGTGCGGATTCTGCCTTTTCAAGGCTTTCAAAGTATTTCTGTTGGAAAACAGCCCAAACCCTGTCTTGCCTGAGTCTTTAGTTTCTCCTCATTCTTGACTGCAGGCAACTGCTGAACTGGGGTAGACTGGAGGGAGGAGGAGGCTCCTGTGCCCAGGAGGCCCTCAGTCCCAGAGGATGGACAGAGCCCTGTCCCGAGACTTTCCAGGAAAGCTTCTTGCAGGGCAGTGACTTTCAGTCATGTTTTCAAGGGGTCAGATGGAGTATAGGGACCCCGGAGGCCTGAGACCGGGTGCGGGAATGTGGGCAGGTGCAAGAGGGCAGACGGTTCTTGGAGGCAGCACCATCTGCTGTGGACCGGCTGGGACAAGGCGCTGCTCTCTCTTCCCAGACTCTCCACTGTCGCCGGCGGCTGTACCCCTGCACTTCCAGTTCTGCCCCCTGCCTGGGGCCAGGGCCCAGCAGTCATGACAGACACCCCCGTGGAGGAATCTCTCTTCCAGATCATCCGCTGCTTCCACCAGTATGCGGCTCGGCAAGGCGACGTGGAGACCCTGTCCCTGCAGGAGCTGCAGGCCCTGCTCATGGACAATGTGCCCCGCTTCATGGACAGCTTGGTGTGCAGGGTCTGGGATCAGGGTGGGGGTTCAAGCAGGGCCAGGGCACCGGTACAGGGTGGGTTCTGGGGTGGCAAGTGAGTGTCAAAAGCGAATAGTGAGGGTATTACAGAGGGCACTGTCTCCTATGAGAATTTTTTTTTTTTTTTTTTTTTTTGAGATGGGATCTGACTCTGTCGCTCAGGGTGGAGTGCACTGGTGCGATCTCTGCTCACTGAAACCTCCACTTCCCAAGTTCAAGTGATTCTCGTGCCTCAGCCTCCCAAGTAGCTGGGATTATAGGTGCCCACCATCACGCCCAGCTAATTTCTGTATTTTTAGTAGAGATGGGGTTTTGCCATGTTGGCCAGGCTGGTCTCCAACTCCTGGCCACCTCAGCCTCCCAAAGTGCTGGGATTACAGGTGTGAGCCACTGTACCTGGCCCTGAGAATCTTTAATTCAGGAGATGGTGGGATCTGCGGCCATAGAGGGGTATTCCCAGCACAGCTGTGTTTCTGGTCCTTCTCTGTTCCCGAACTCTCTGCCTGGCCTCACTTCAGCCCAAACTTAGTGGATTCCTGAAACTCAGTCCTAACCACAAACCTGTGGATGTCTCTGCCCCTCCCCTGTGCCACCTGGCCAGCCCTCTGAGCTCGGCCCCTCTCCTGGGCTGCACAAGCCTGGCCATCCTGCCCCCATGCCTGGAGGGAGGATGGTGGGGGCTGCTGTGGGACTACAAGAGCCTGCCCCAGGTGCGAAGCCTCCAGCTCCTCTCTGAGCAACTAGCTTTGTGGAGCAGTTAAGATCACAGGAACAGGGTGGGCGCTGAGGGGAGAGAGGGGCTGCAAAGCTGCCCACAGCTGCTTCCCCCAAATGTTTTCTAAGGTTTCACACTGGGCTTCTCATGCCCACCAGCCAAACCTTGCTGAAAGCTGCCCCAACCGCCCCGCCCGGTGCTCATGATGCCCGCCTTGTCTCTTCCGACTCCGTCCCTGTGCTGTGCTCCGGCCCTGACTTTCTTCACGCTCTTCCTTCTGCCTCCAGTGCTTCTTTCCTCTCCTCTACCATCCCCACTTCTCAGCCCTCAGGGCCATCGCTGGGCCACCTGCCTTGGAACAACCTGGACAGCTCCCGGGCTCCTGGCTTTGTCTTTTCCCTCCTTCTGCACTCTATGGGGGCCCAGCGTCCGGGGGTCAGAGGTTTGCATGCTGGGAATTGCTTCTGATGCGAGCAGATTAAAAGGCATGCAAACTCTGACCCCCTGGGCGCAGCCCTGCAGCAGTGCTGGGCGTTCGGACTCCAGGGCCAGGTCAGCTCTGCTCTTGGAGAGCTCCTGGTGTGGAGGAAGGCACTGCCCTGCCTTGAGGAAGCCCTGGCTGGGTGATTCCTCCAGAGGAGTCTGCAGCCCAGCTGCAGTGAACAGAGGTGTAAACAGCTGCTGACGGTGGATGCGAAGTGCATCTGGGGTGCCAGTGCTGCCTGGGGACTGCAGGCAGTTAACCATCACGGTGCCCAGTTTACCTCCTTTGTCTGCATACACGCAGCTAGCTCCAGGCTCGGTTATGGGGACAGCCGCCATGCCCCTGTCTCTTGAGCCTGACTTTGCAGCATTCGGTGCCCTGGTCACTGACTATTGGAGTGAGGAGTCATTTCCTGCAAGCCCTTGCAGGCCAGGCCAGGCCACAGGGACCCCATCCCCTCCCAGCGGACGGTGGGGAGCCTGGCAGGTGGGCTGCATGCCGGGGTGGGTGATTGACCCTCTGCCCACTCCTCAGGGCCGGAAGGAGCCGTACTACATCACAGAGCTGTTCCGGGCAGCAGACAAGAACAAGGACGACCAGCTCTGCTTCGACGAGTTCCTCTACGTCTTGGGCAAGCTGGTGAAGGACTACCACCTGCAGTACCGCCGGCGGCTGTGCGCCCACCACTGCGCCCAACGCAGCCTCTACTAGAGGGGCTCAGGCAGCCTCCTGCCCACCGGAGCCTGACCCGGGAGGAGGCGTGACCTGGCTGTCGGCAGCTGAATGGAGAACCCAGCTCTGTGTGTCTGCGTGCGTCTCTCTGTGTGTGCACATGTGGGTACATGTCTGTGGAAAGGACACAGTGTGAGACAGAATAAAGCAATTTCATACATATTTCCAAGGACGTGTCAGCACTTGGTTCTAGGCTCCACCTACAGTTCGGAAAAAGGTTTGGTCCCAACCTGGGAAAGATCTGTTTTAGGTGGGTGAAACAGCCCTTGCCTCCAGGGATCCCCTGTCTGACGGGGAGACACAGCTCCCATCTCCAGGGAAGACTTGTCTGATGGGGGAGACACAGCTCCTATCTCCAGGGAGCCCCTGTCTGATGGGGGAGACACAGCTTCTATCTCCAGGGAGCCCCTGTCTGATGGGGGAGACACAGCTCCTATCTCCAGGGAGCCCCTGTCTGATGGGGGAGACACAGCTTCTATCTCCAGGGAACCCCTGTCTGATGGGGGAGACACAGCTTTTATCTCCAGGGATCCCTTGTCTGATGGGGGAGACATAGCCTCTATCTCCAGGAAAGATCTGTCTGAGGAGGGAGACACAGCTCCTATCTCCAGGGAGCCCCTGTCTGAGAGGGGAGACACAACTCCTATCTCCAGGAAAGATCTGTCTGAGGGGGGAGACACAGCTCCTATCTCCATGGAGCCCCTGTCTGTCGGGGGAGACACAGCTTATTCTTCTAGGGAGTTTATGTCTGATGGGGGTGACAGTCCCCACCTGCAGTGCTCCGTCTGAGAAGGAAGAGTCTCCTCTCTTGTGGAGATAGGCCTCGCCCGTGGTCACTCATTCACCCACCACACGGTGGTAGCACGGGGGTAGGGGTAAACTAACATGCCCCCCCGCCATGGCATCCCTGCTCTGAAAAGAGCCCCAAGAATCAGGGAGCAAGGCAGAGGCTGAGCCTGGGAAGAGATCAGGATCAGGAGGCAGGTGCATTTCTAGCAGAGGTAACAACAGTAAAAATGTATAAGGTACATCTGGGAGTGACAGAAAGTTTGCTTGGAAATTAGCGTTCATGGAGAAAAGAGTAGGAAGTCAGCTTGAATGGGTGGGTTAGGACCACAGTCTGGAAGTCCCTGAGAACTAAGCACTGGAATGTGGACTTTATCCTTTTGGTAAGGGATCCTGAGTGGTTAAGTGTGGGAAAGGGGCGAGGGCACTGGGACCAGCTCTGTGCTTCAGCAAACTAGTGCTGGGGGTTTGGGGTGGAGGGAGACAGTCAGACTTGCACAGCCTGGCCGGAGGCTCTAAAGAGCAGGTAAACAGCTGCGTGGGATGGAAGGGAGGGAGCAGGCGTCAGAACAGGCAGAACGTCAAAGGCCAGACCTGGGTGCAGACTGCGGGAGAGAAGCATCCGGAAAGAGGTGGAGGTTTCAGGCGCTGGTGACCAGCATGGGACCTCGGTGTTGGGGTGGGAGTCAGTCTGCAGGGAAGGCTGTGTGCTGGGTTTGCGCATGCTGAGTCAGACACTGACAGGAGCTGAGCTGACAATCCAGCCTGGCAGAACCACAGACACCTGTCACGGGAAGAACAATGAGTGGAGCCTGGGTGACAGTCAACCAGGAAGGCTTTCTGGAGGAGAGAAGGGTTGGGTCTGGTTTTTTCCTACAACATGATGATGGATATGAGAGTTACTCTGACTCAGGGCTATTCATGATCCCCTGACCTGAGTCCCCTGGTGTCCCTGATCCCACCCACCTGAGACCTGCCCCTGCCCTTGCTCTGTTTCTTTTTCCTCCTCCTCTCCCTGGGACCCCAGGAATCTAATGCAGAAGCCCTTGGGGAGGGTCTCCTCTGCCTTCAGGATCTGCCAGAGCCCACTTTAGTGGGCTGTGTTTTCTGAGGGTTGGTCTGGGAACCAGTGTCCTGAGCTTACTGAGACAGAAACCATGGATTCGGAAAGAGTGATGGGAGGTGACCCATCACCTGCGCACAGGACTGCAGGGTAACTTAAGAAACTCGGTCTGTTTCCCTCCCCACCTGGGCCTTTGCACCAAACATGGTGGGTGCCCCTGGGGCTGAGCCGGAGACCTTTTTATCATCAGTACGGCTCTGGGGCAGGATCTGCCCCTGCTGCTCCAGGCCTGGCCTGCTGTCCCTTCCACACTTGCCATCAGCTCAGTTTGCCTTTCCAGACCCAGCTGGGCCCTCCCCTCCTCTGGAGACGTCTGCATCCCATTCTGTGATAAACTGCTTTTTGCCAGCTAAAACTAACTCTCTCTTTCTCAGACTAAAAGCTGTTCAGGCTTCATGTTAGCTTCTTGAGCCAGACAGACTCCATCTTAGCTTCTTCATATTAGTTATTTTCCCACCATTAAGTATGTAACTGTAGTATGTAGCTGGGGCGGGCTGACACTGGGCACCTCCAGGAATGCATTTGTTAAGAGACCGAGTTAAGTGGTATGAGCAGGGCCTGGGAAGGCAGGTGCTGTCACGCGCCCGGAGCCCCCATATCTGTAAGTTCTATGTCTTTCATGACAGCTTTACCCCTCGCACCTGGCACTGTTTTATTTCTCATGTACCAGTTTATCTTTTAATTTTTCGCTTACTCTGCTTTTGTGAAAAATTTGCTTCAGTGAGGTTCCCCCTCCCCTTCAAAACTAGGGTATAAAAGACCACCTAACTTTTTCTTAGGGGCCGAGAGAATTTTGGGCGTTGGCCACCTCTCTAAAGGGCTGGTAATTCAATCTCAGTGTGGCGCATTCCTTGACTCGCTGGGATACAACAATTCCCCTCTGTATTCTCTCCTGCGGAGCGGAGCGGCAGATGCTGCAGCAACGCGTTTGTTTTACACTCTCCACTGAGACAGGACCTCAGTGTCCCCATAAATGCTCAGCAGGTGTTTGGGGAAGGAAAGGATTGAGATCTGGGGCCTGTGGGGCTGGAATGGACAGCCTAGATCTGTGCTCCTTCCCGCAGGGCGGTGACTGTGTCTAGAGGCACGAAGACCGTCGCCTGGGTTACTCAGGCCACTCTTCCTCCAGGCTCAGGGGAGGAACGCCTGTCTCAGCTGAGAAGGGCTGCGCTCCACTGGCATTGAGCATGAAGAAGGGGCACCCAGGCCAAGCCCTCCCTGCTCCTGTCCTGCCCCCTTCTGGGGGTTTCTTCACCAGCTCTGCCTGCTCTGTCGTCATTTCCTTGGCCCCAGGGATGGGCCCGGCAGGTCTGTTGGGACACATGTAGGGAATGAGCCCTTCCCTGTAAACACGAGCTGGTTCCGTTCCCTCTGGGTTGCCCCACGTCCGCCAGGCTGCTTACAGCCTCTGCCTTTCCCCTGATGTGCTTACCCAAGTCCTGATACCCTTTTGCTGCGAGATCTGTCTCCCGCTGTCCCCCAAACACCCCAGGCTGTCTGTCCAGGGGTGCTGTTTCTGGGGAGGGGGTGACATTTCACGGTCTTGCTGGTCAGCCTGCCCACGGTGTGGGGAGGAGGTTACCACTCAGGATTTTCTCACTGGACCAAGGCAAGGACCTGGAGTCACTCCCTGCGCCTCAGTTTCCCCGTCTGTCAAATAAGGATAATTAATCTTGTAATGGTCACGTCACAAGGTTGCTGGGAACAGCAAATGAGTCAGTGGATGCAAAATACTTTGCAAATACGATGTGCTGCTTTGAGGCAGGTGCTGTTACGCCAGGTCACCTAGGACAGTACACGGTGAATGATAGGTACTGACTAAGGGCGGATCCTTGGTTGAAAACTTGTCATGTCAGAAATGGCATTGTTTTCCTAGACAGAGTTTGATTCACCTTTTGTCAAGGAAGTTAGGCTGCATTTAGTTGATGAATTTACACCCTGCCTTCTTCTAGAAATGATTTAAGATGGTTGAGTATGATAAAGAGAATTTCTGCCTTGGATAAGGGAAAGGCCTAACTTAATTTTGTATTCATTTATCCCCTCAACAAGTATTAATTGAACACTTAGTAGGTGCCAGGCCCTAGGGTTGTGAAAAGAAATGTGATTTCTTTTCTAAATTGTCTCCTAGTCCCAAGGAAAAGAAAGAAAATAAACAAATAAATCGTAACATAGTAGGGCCAATGCCTGTGTTGGGTAAATATTTGGCTAGCATGGAAGATAGAAGAATCAACTCTGAATTGATGGCATAGGTCAGGGGGATCAGGGATGGACTTGGAGCAGATGGTGGTCCTGAGCTGGATGCGGAAGGATCAGGAGGACATTACGGGGACAAAAGGCATTACAGGCAGGAACAGGAAGTAAATGCTGTCACATCACATCATGAGTCACTCAATCATTTAATGCGTGGAATTACCATGTCTCTCTGTGGGGCCCAGTTTCCTCATCTGTACAATGGGCATTATAATAGTACATACATCACTGGATTAGTGTGATAATTAAATGGATCCATGCAAATAAAGCACTTAGAGTAGTTCCCGGCACATGGAAATGCCCAGTGAGCGTTAACTAGTATTTTGCCATGATTTTGTTCTGATCGGTGATTGTGGCTGCTGTTGTTGTGTGTGCTGGGCACTGTGCTGGGTCCCCAAGGGTTCACATCCAGAGAGAGCTGCGTTCATTTTGGAGGGGGAAAGGCTCCCTGCTATGTTTATGCAATGGTTCAGGCCCTTGTGCGGTGTGGAGGGACGGCAAGCAGCTTCTACCTCCCAGAGCACGGTGCATCCCCAGCTTCACAGAGCAGGAGAGCTGTGGAGGAGTGTGAGCAGCAGGGTAGGAATGGATACATAGCCCTTGGCAACAACACACGTCCCCACAGAGCATCCACCCACCCACCCAAAACAACAACAACAACAGTTTTGGTTTTTAATAATGAGAACAATAGTTTTCAGTACTAAAAGCCAGCAGCCAGGGCAAGTGTTCTCAACCCTTTTGCTGTTTTTGGACCCTTTCAAATTCTGATAGAAGCCATGGAGGAATGTTCTCATTGAGTGCATGCACTCAAAATGATGCACTCAATTTCAATTCAATTTCAGGAATGTATAGCCTGACCATCAATGCAGGGGATTGGCGATCCCAAAAGTGGAGAGGGCATAGGAGTTTCCCAGAAAAAGATCCCCCCTTCCTGCTTTTTCCTTCTGGGCACAACTGCCCAGCAAATGCCTTCCTCTTTCCACTTCTCCTACCTCCCCACCCCAAATTTTCATTCTGCACAGTGATTACCACACTCACCTGGTTGAGAAACCAGAGACTGTAGCAACACTGGCAGGGAGCAGCTGTCTCTGATGGCCTGAAGCTGTGGGCGCTGGCCAGCCTCACCGCTATAAAAGGAAGCTGCCGCTCAGCCCTGCATGTCTGTTGTCAGCTGTCTTTCAGAAGACCTGGTAAGTGCGGCTGTCTGGGTTGGCCCCACACTTTGGGCTTCTCTTGGAGAGGGTCAGGGAAGTGGAGCAGACTTCCAGAGAGAGGAGAGAGCAAGCCCAGGGAGGTCTGGAGCAAAGATACTCCTGGCAGTGGGGAGTGAGGCAGGGATAAGGAAGAAGAGTCTCCTCCAGCACCTTCCAGTGGGCAAGGGCGCATGTCTCCTAGGCTGGACCTTTGTTGGGCAGAGAGTGGGTGGTAAGGAAAGGCTCCTCTGTGTGTACAGTGGCTCTGTGTGAACAGACCCTTCCCCTTTCCACCCCTGCATGCCTGTTATCCACTCTTCCGGTCACAGCCATAGGCCATCTGCTAGTTGGGTTATTTGGAGAGCGCAGGCCCAGGACAAGGCCATCGCTTGGGGCATGAACCCTCTGAGTTCTGCTCTGGGCAGATGCATACCCCCTGCCACGGGATTCCCCAGAGGGTTCTGTCTTTCAGGTGAGGCAAGTCTGTGGGCACCATGCCGACCGATCTGGAGAAAGCCTTGAACTCCCTCATCGATGTCTACCACAAATACTCCCTGATAAAGGGGAATTACCACGCCATCTACAGGGACGACCTGAAGAAATTGCTAGAGACCGAGTGTCCTGATTATATAAATGTGAGGAGGGGCTGGGTGTGGTGGGGGCTCTCTGCCCTGGTCCTGGGGGTGCCCTGTGCCCGTGGTCCTCCCTGCTGCCCTTTGTAGATGGCCCTGCACTGGCTCTCTCTGAGATCTTTAAACTCTGGCTTCTTCCTCTTCAATCTTGACAGAAAAAGAGTGCAGAAGCCTGGTTCAAGGAGTTGGATATCAACAGCGATAATGCAATTAACTTCCAGGAGTTCCTCATACTGGTGATAAAGGTGGGCGTGGAAGCCCACAAAGAAAGCCACAAAGAGTAGCTGAGTTACTGGGCCCAGGGGCTGGGCCCCTGGACATGTACCTGCAGAATAATAAAGTCGTCAATACCTCAAGCCTCTCTTGCTCATGCTTTTGTCGTTTGAGGTTCCTCGGGGTGGAGGAAGGGTTGGAAAACTCAAAGGAAGAAAAATAAACCTATGTTATCTGCCTCCCCCTGCCAACAAGCCTTTCCTGCTTTACCCCTCATCTGGCTTCTGTCCCACATTCCCTTCCGGCCCCACTCTCTTGAGCCATGAATTTGAGGCTTTAAGGATTCTAAAAAGTCCATGACACTGTAGCTGGTGAGTGTACTAGCAGTTCTGAAATGGGTTGGGGATTTGGGAACGGGGTGGTATAAGAAAAACTCATACTGTTCTCCAAGCTAAATTTTAGTTTCCAGATAAATGTTTTAGATGTGGCTCTTGGAAAATTAGGGTGATAGCTACATAGAAGTGTGTGTGTGTCTGTGTGTGTGTGTGTGTGTGTGTGTGTGAGAGAGAGAGAGAGAGAGAGAGAGGGAGGGAGGGGCTGATTCTGTGTGTGGTGTGATGTAGGTGGACAATGTTTAGAGTTCTACATTAATAGGATAGTTCCCATACCTGGCCCCACCTCTAAACTTTGTCCTCGGGGATTTTGAAAAATTTTCCTCTATCTCTACTCCCAACCTCCCAACTCAATTAAATAATAAAGGAATGGGCAAATAGGAAAATAAATTAGTAAAACTTAAGTCAAAGGATAGGTTATTCAAATGTTGCCCTGTGGGATTCTATGCTTTGGTGATCAGAGAATTATCTTAAAAAAAAAAAACTTCCCAAGGGCCTGGTAGAAGGGGAGGGCCAGAAGATGAATGGTTCTTCTCTGAGATGGGGATTGAAAGAAAGAAGAAATGGAAGGGGCACCTTTTGACAAGAACATAACCCCAAACTGGATTTTCACGCTGTGGTGTGGGGGATTTTCTGTTGTCCTCACTTAGGTGCTGGGGCAATGGTGTTAGTGATGCTTAAGAAGGTAGAAAGCTGGCCGGGCGCGGTGGCTTAAGCCTGTAATCCCAGCACTTTGGGAGGCCGAGGCGGGTGGATCACGAGGTCAAGAGATCGAGACCATCCTGATCAACATGGTGAAACCCCGTCTCTACTAAAAATACTAAAAAAATTAGCTGGGCATGGTGGCGTGTGCCTGTAATCCCAGCTACTCAGAAGGCTGGGGCAGGAGAATTGCCTGAACCCAGGAGGCGGAGGTTGCGGTGAGCCGAGATCGCGCCATTGCACTCCAGCCTGGGCAACAAGAGCGAAACTCCGCCTCAAAAAAGAAAAAAAAAAAAAAAGAAAGTAGAAGGCTGTCACCAGAATCACTAAACCAGGGTTCTTAACTTGTCTGTCTATACATCTCTGAAACTGGATTGAAGTTGATTGCATCATTTTGAAGGCATGCACTAAGTGAGAACATTCCTTCACGGCTTCTATCAGAATCTCAAAAAGGCTCAAACACCTCAAAAAGGTTAAGAACACTTGTCCTGTTTACTGGTTTTTAGTAACAAAAGGCTAAGTATTTGTCTGTCTGTCTGTCTTTCTGTCTCTCTCTCTTTTGACACAGGGTCTTGCTCTGTCACCTGGACTAGAGTACCATGGCATGTTCATGGTTCACTGCAGCCTCGAACACCTGGGCTCAAGCAATCCTCTCACCTCAGCCTCTTTAGTAGCTGGGACTACAGGCATGAGACACTGCACCGGGTTAATTTTTAATCATTTTTTTTTTTGGTAGAGATTGGGACTTGCTATGTTACCCAGGCTAGTCTCGAACTCCTGGACTCAAGCGATCCTCCTACCTTGGCCTCCCAAAGTGCTGAGATTGCAGCTGTGATCCACACCACATCTGGCCAAAAAGTGGAGTATTTTTATGGCTATTGTTGTTTTGGGTGGGTGGGTGGATGCTTTGTGGGGACATGTGTTGTTGCCAAGGGCTAAATCAATTCCTATTCTGCTGCCCACACCCCTCCACAGCCCTCTGCTCTGTGAAGCTGGGGATGCGCCCTGGCATGGAGGATGGAGGCTGTTTGGTGTCCCTCTGCACTGCACAAGGGCCCCAGCCATTGCCTAAACACAGTCTACAGTGGCTGAACAAAAGACCGTCTTTCAGTGAAAAAGATTTTCCCGTTCATTTCACCACTTGGGAACCAGAACAATTTGGTCGGGTCCAGAACCCAGCCCATTTTCTGCCCTCCTGCCTGGGGAATTCAGTCTAAATAGAAATGGGCTGTAGAGGGGAGAAAAAACTACCAACACGTATGGTGGGCTATGGTGGGTTGTGCATGTGTGTGCGTGTGTGTGTGTGTGCACGTGTCAGGGTGGGAGTGCAACCTATCACAGTGCCTCTGATTCCCCTTGAAAGTGCACTGTTGGAGTTGCTGTCAATTGCTTCTTTGTGAGGAGAGTTAGTAAATACAGCAGGGAGATTTCCACCCTTGCTGGGATAATTATTGTGCCTGGAACCCCAGGATCATGGGCCGAAGAGAGGAAGCTAACTCTGGGGTAATGGAGGGGAGGGGTTATTTGGAGAAGCTACACGTGCTTCATGCCTAAGAGGAGAAGAGGAGGTGACCAATTTCCTAGGATTTCAGGAGGAGCAAAGCCTTTTCCCACCCTCTAGCAAAATGCCACTCAATTAGCTGGCTTCCAGTGCCGAAGATTACACACCTCAGGTCACCGGGCTTTTTCCTGTAGTAGACCTTAATCATATAAAGTGCAGATGAACAGGGAAAGGTAACAGTTTAAGACCTTATTCACCAATGTGTTAATTACCGACCAATTTTATTCGTTATCAGCTAACTTATTAGTGAAAATGGTTGGCAGCCAGCTGAACATTAAGACTGGGATCTAAGATGGGGTGGGAAAACCTGGTCAGCACGATATGGAGATGGGCTTCTGTGGGGCGAGGAGGAAGACCTAAGCATTAAATTGCTTTCTTTTCAGGTTTTGCTGAAGGGTATCTATCCATCCCTCCAAGCCAGTGCTTCTACTCAAGTCAGGAGTGTGGAATACACTCCGCATTGCAGAAACAGAGATTATGCAGCTCTCAGCGGCACCGCAGTGATGTTACTGTAATTTTCTCCAACACGCAGTCCAAAGGTGAGCAGCTGGACCAAACGTGGCCTAGGCAAAAAAAGGTGGGAAATGTTCCAGGGTTTACTAAGCCACATTTCAGATGAACTCAACATTTAGGGGATCTCATGGGAGAAAAGATAGTGACAGGAGTATGCCAAAGGAGTGAGCACCCCGATTCTGCCTTTCAGCTATCCACATTGGTGGCGGTGGTGGTGACGTGTGTATGTGTGTGTGTGTGTGTGTGTGTGTGTGTGTGTGTGTGTCAAGGTGGTGGGGGGCAACCTATCCCAGTGCCTTTGATTCCCCTTGAAAGTGCACTGTCGGACTTGCTGTCAATGCATTCTTTTGGGGAGAGTTACTAATCTCAGTTGTTTGCCTCTACTTGGGAGTCCAATAAGTCTGCTTCCTCTGGGCCCACCAGAAGGGGGAGGTGGCTCAGCCCTTTGGAGTTTCACCGTAAGTGATGGGTGCTGGTTGTTAAGAACTGGGTCAATAGTTGATTCTTGAGTGCACAGCTGGGCAGGGTAGGTGGCGCAGCTGGCACTGGCCATCTGGAGAAGAGGAACAGTGAGAGAGGCAGGCCTTGGAAGCTTTGCAGAGGACGCAGGCTTGGAGACGATGATTTACAAACAAGACTGTGCCCGTTACTGAAACCACTGACTGGGCAGAATCAGACAGGACCTGTGGCCCAGAGCAAGGGGATTTTGTTTCCTGTTTCCCCAGCTACAAAAGAAGAACAAGGGAGTGGGAAGTTTAGAAATAAGTAGTTTAGCAGGAAATCTCATGCAACATTTGAGCCCACAAAGGAGAGCTGGGCTCACCAATTGAAGCAGATCCGGCCGCGATGATTTCTGGGTCCTGTAAGGATGACCTGTCTGAAATCTTGCTTCTCCTTCCGAGTTCTTCGCCCAAGGGTCCTGTGTTCCTAGTGGTTGTGAGTCTTGAAGGGCATGGAGAGGATCTGGACTTGCGCAATCAGTCTACAGTGGCTGAGCAAAAGACCTTATTCCAATGGGAAAGATTTTCCTGTTGATCCCTCCACTTGGGAACCAGAGCAATTTTGACTGGGTCCAGAACCCAGCCCATTTTCTGTCCTCCTGCCTGCGGGAATTCAGCCTAAATTCAAATGGGCTGAAGAGGGGAGGGAAAGCTGCCAACACTTACTGGTCTCCAGCTGTGTGTCAGTGTGAAAGAAAAAAAAAATCATCTCAAACCTGGAAAAAGGCAAAATGGTGATTGCTTATATTTTGACCTCATGCTAGAGTCTGTTGCATAAAAGCAGGTCCTCACTATTAGCCCTCATCTGATACTTAGGAGAAAAGTGTCAGCAAAGTAAGTTTGGTAGCAATTCATAACAGATGAAGGATAGTTTGCCTCTGCGAGGCAGGTCAATATGGCTTTAGAGGCTGGTCAAAATGCTAAACCCAAAACTGTTAGAGTTTTTGTCATCCTACGAAAAGTCAAAAGACTTGTATTTAGTCTTGTGTCTAAATTAAGAATCTTAGGCATTACTTTCTAACAGTCTTTCATATTCTTAATATCCTTCAAACCAGTTCAAAAGTCTCCCCTGCTGGTTCTCTTTTTTAATGAACTGACACAAAAATTTTGACACAAGCCCATGATTTTTTGTGACTGATTTTGCTATTTAGCTCAAGACATGGTGGTAACTTATTCCTCATAACAACCCTATGAGAGAGGTAATTACTATTTCCATTTTGTAGATGAGTAGACCCAGAAACTTGACACAGCTTGTGAATCTGGCAAGTGGCAGGGGTAGAATCAGATCTCTGCTGTCTCCACGCAAGAGACCCTGATTAAAACATGAAGGTGCTTCCCTTAGCCATTTTCGACCCGGGTGTGGATGGGCCAGCCCTTCCTTGCCTGCCTACCTGGGCTCTTTCTCCTCAGCCCCTGTAGGGTCTCTGCTGTCCAGAGGGAGAAGTAGGAAGAGCAGGTATCAGAGGAGCTTCTCT